GAATGACACTTGGGAAGTGGTTGATTTGCCTAAAGGGAAGGATATAGTAGGGTTGTAAGTGGGTTTTTACTATCAAATATCATGCTGATGGCACCATTGAAAGGTACAAGGCTAGGCTGGTTGCAAAAGGCTATACATAGACATATGAGATTGATTATCTGGAGACCTTTACCCCTGTTGCCAAGATGACTCATGTGAGAGTTCTGCTATCTTTGGCTGCACACTCAGACTGGCCACTTTATCAACTGGATGTAAAGAATGCATTTCTGAATGGAGAGTTACATGAGGAGGTCTATGTTTCTTCCTCCAGGGATGTATGAAACAGATACAAAAGGAAAGGTCTGCAGGCTAAAGAAATCTCTTTATGGACTCAAACAATCCCCTAGAGCATGGTTTGAAAGGTTTAGGGCTGCCCTTGTTAGCTTTGGCTATGTACAGACACAGTCTGATCATACCCTCTTTGTGAAGAGGAGAGGATCCTTGGTCGTTTACCTAATTGTGTATGTTGATGATATTGTTGTGACTAGTAATGATGTCTCAGGGATTAATGATCTCAAATCTTTCCTTCATACAGAGTTTGAGATCAAAGACCTGGGGGAATTGAAATACTTTCTTGGCATAGAAGTTGCTAGATCCAAGGATGGGATCCTAATCTCTCAGAAAAAGTATGTAATTGATTTGCTCTCTGAAACAGGGAAGATGGGTGCTAGATCAGTTGCTACTCCTATCAATATGAGACATAAACTCTCTGCTTCAGATGGAATATTGTTAGAAGATAAGGGAGTCTTCCAGAGACTACTTGGAAAACTTCTTTATCTATGCATGACTCGGCCAGACATTGCATATGCTGGTAGTTGCATCAGTCAGTTCATGCATGCTCCCAGGGATACTCACATGGTAGCAGCAGAGCAGATTCTGTGTTATTTGAAGGGCTCCCCTGGAAAGGGAATTCTATTTGTTAAGCATGGCCATATGAAACTTGAAGCCTACACAGATGCTGACTGGGCCGGAAACATTGATGACAGAAGATCTACCTCTGGGTACTATATTGGTGGCAGGTAATATTGTCTCTTGGAGAAGCAAGAAACAATCAGTTGTTGCTCGATCTTCAGCCGAAGCAGAATACAGAGCCATGGCTCATGGAGTTTCTGAACTATTGTGACTTAGATCTTTGATGGAGGAATTGGGTATTGAGCATGATAAGCCAATGATGTTATACTGTGATAATCAGGCCGCCATCAACATTGCTCACAACCCAGTGCAACATGACAGAACTAAGCATATTGAAGTTGACAAACACTTCATTTGAGAAAGAGTGGCTTCTAGAGAAGTGTGTCTACCTTTCATCACCTCTAAAGGACAGTTAGCTGATTTCCTCATTAAGGGCATTCCCAAGGCTAAACTTCAGCATGATTGACATCTATGCTCAGCTTGAGGGGGAGTGTAGAGAAGATGGGCCGAATGGCCCATAGGCTGTTTATTCTTTTTTATCTTTTATGTTCTTTGTTGTAATGGGCCTTAATCTGGGCTTTATTCTTTCTTATATTATGTCTTTTAATTTTCTGCCCAACTAGGGGCTTCTCTGTAAATTACTGAAGTTTAACCTAATGAAATAGAATTAAGGGAGTAAGAGAAGAGATTATGTTTGAAAAATCTCTCTTTGAACCCAAGTTGCCGCCACCTTCTTCTTCTCTCCTCTTGAACTCTGATTTCTGCTACTTTCTTTTGAATTTTTGCAACTTTCTAAACAGTCATTTCTTCTCAAAAGGTTGTTTTTCTTCTGAAACCAAAGAATTTTCTTTGAAAAAAGCAAATCAAAGGAGGAAGTCGTTGAAGCCATAAAAATCAGAATTGCACATTGGGTGATAACCATGGAACTATTCTAAAACTTCTCCATGAATGACATTCTAAGGAACTGAACTGAAGTGGCACAAACAGATGTACCCAAAGAAATTGTGAGTGGAGTGGAAGGCAGCTGTACTAAATAAACTAAAACTAAACTTTAATGGGAGTTCCTTTGGCAACCCAAGAAATGCAAGAATAGGGGGTGTGCCTAGAAATCATCAAGGAGAAGTTGTGGCACTTTTCTTAGGACCAATAGGTATTGGTGACTCAATTCAGGCTGAAACTCTGGCTCTCCTACAAGGATTAAAGTTGGCTGAGCAGATTGGAGCAAAAGATTTAGAAATTGAAGGAGACACACTACTGGTCATTTCTTGGGCTAAACAAATCACATCAGCACCTTGGAAGCTCAAATTTATCCATAGGGAAATTGACATACTTGCAAGGAGGTTCAACTTTCAGTTTGATTGGGTAAAAAGAACTTCAAATGGTTTGGTGGATACCCTAGCAAAACAGGGGGCAAATAGATCTACCTTGTTCTGGGCAGAACTGTAATTGTTTGTATATGTTTGTAGCTTGGGTCAATGCAGTGCTGAAACCTAACTCTTGTAATTCAATATTCCTCTGATCTAATAAAAGTCTTATTTGCTGATAAAAAAAATGGTACTGGGTTGTATCATTATTTGGGTGCAGGTGGAACTTGCCCTCCAAAGTAAAGCTGCTACTCACCCCATCTGCCTTTGGGAGAATGACAAAAAGAGGGAAGCTAATATGGAAATGTATCAGAGCCGCTACCTTGTGGATGTTATGAGAGGAGAGATGCTAAAATATTTCAAGAAAAGGAAAAAAGCCTTGCTGAAGTCAAGGAATGCATAATGACAAGGACAGCCTTGTGGCTGGAATCTTCACACTTGTTGGCAGATTATTCCTTTGATACTTAAGGAGAATTTGGGCAGCAGTGGCTTCTACAGTCTCCACAAAGAACAAACCACAAGTAGAATGGAAACCCCCACTGGAAGGAATGGAAAAATTAAATTGTGATGGTAGCTGCCAAGGTAATCCAGGGCCATCCGGAATAGGAGGGATTCTAAGAGATAAAGACAACATGATGTCTTCATTTTCAGGACCAGGGGGTGTTGGTGATTCTGTAAAGGCCGAGATACTAGCAGTGATACAAGGTATACAAGCTGGCCAATCAACTTGTAGTGGACAATTTGATAGTTGAGGGGGATTCCAAGGTAGTAACGGGTTGGCTGAAAAGTCCAGAAACAACTTGTTGGGGTTACAGGAATCTGTTAAAGAAAGTTAATTGGCTAACAAGAAATAATGACAATCAGGGTTCAGTCGGTTAGCAGATCAGCAAATGCAATGGCTGGTTCTCTAGCCAAGCAAGGGGTATCAAGGGGAGATCTGTTTTGGGTTAACTTGTAATTGTGTTTCAGACTTGTGTGTGTTTAGTGCTTATGGTTCAGTCCTTGGGGGAGATAGCACCTCATGCCTCCTCCTAGGCTGACTGTACTCTCTTTATTTGAATTAATAAAATCACTCTCATTTACCAAAAATAAAACAAAATAAAGAGTCTCAACCATTATAGAATGAAGGGAAAAATCAATATAAAGATTGATCAATGTTTTACACCAAAATGGACCACCATGGCTTTGATGAATGTGAAGTGAAGGAAAAACAAATTATAAGTTTGTGGTGGTTTTAGCTAGCACAGTTGGCAGAGTTCCAGGGAATTGACCTTTCTCAAAAAAAAGCCCCAGACTGAGATGAAATCGTGCTTCCATCATTACTATCTACTAACTAATAAACCGCCAAGCTATCCTATCCTTTGAAAATAGAAGTTATTAAGGAACATGATAGGTTTTAGCACATGAGGAATTATATAGCATAGTGATGATGTCAGTAACAAGACAGGTCTAGGCCTCATTTGAACCAGTGAGAACTGAACCATCCTCCAAATCAGTTCAATGCCCAGTCTGGTTTTCAGAACAATACCCTATCGCAATGAAAAGCATGGTTTTGAAAAAAAAAAAAAGCATGGTTTTGAAAACCGGACCGGACCGGACAGTCAAACCAGTGGGCACCGGGAACCAGTCAGGTAACTGGTTCTGTTCACCCTAACACCACTCCTGGGCCAAAAACGTTGATTTGGTTTACGACCCACTGACCTGGGTGGTCAAACCGTCGACCCAAACAATGGTTTTTGGCCGTTTTTTATTTTAATTATTTTATTAAATTTTTACTTTTTTAAATCAGAACAGGCCGTCCATTCAAACCGGATGGTTGGACCGTTTGACCCGGTAACCGGTCCCCAAAACGGTTTCGTGTCTGGTCCAATTTTTAAAACCTTGATGAAAAGAAGTTTTGCCATGCTTTCAATTACACAGGTGGCAAGACAACAGCTAGAAGAAAACCTGGCTTTCTCTGTGTAACCTTGTATCAGAAAATGTTGTGTGTATGGCTGCAAGTGCCAATGCATGTGTTTCTTGGTACAGCACAGGCTGCTTGAAAGCCTGTGAATAACATTGAATTATAAGAAAAAAAATTATATCTGGTTGGCTGGTCCCACATTGCTGTATTTGTGTACCAGGTTTGCCATAACATGATGCCACCACCATGAGAATGAAATCATTGTATATATGTTCAATACCCACTATTTGCTGTTTGCATTTTATGGGATCAGAACTGCCACTCAGTTCCCAGTGAAGGCTTATTGAAGAACTTGCTGAGAATATCCTTGGAAAATTTAAAAAAATGTTGACAACCTTTTCTTTCCATCTTTCATGTTCGATAACCTTTATTATATATATTTTAACTAGTTGTGTGGCTGTGGCACGAGCATTGCACGTGCAAGAAGAGGCAAAAGAGAAAGAAAAATTTGCTAAAAAGGATAAATAAAGATAAGATGGGAACCAAATTAAAGTTGGGCATGAAATTCTCCCTTCCTCTCTCTCTCATATAGGCTGTAGATTATTATTATATAGGTTATAGCGTATAGATTATTAAAGTCCATAAGTATAAGATGGGAAATTGAATAAATAAAAGGGGTATTTTTAAGTATATAAAAGTTACAACATCAACCAAAATGGGTGTGACACTCTCTCTTTTATATATATAGATAACTAGAACAAAATAAGGTAAGGGTACTGTACCTCTCCAGTGAATTGCACGGTTGTATATTTGTTGTCAATTCCAGATGTGCCTTCAAAAACCTGGCAGTAATAATAGCAGATGAACAAATTAAAAAGTATGTACTTGGAGAACTGGATATTCCATTTTGATAATATACAAGGTTCCGATATCAATATGCTGGATAGGGCGTAACGGACTTTTGAATATCATGCTTTTATTTTTATTTTTTTTCAAACATGTTCAGGGGGTTGGTATAAGGCCTGGCTACCCCCCGAACCTGGTCATCCCCTGAAACTCCCTGTATTTCACACATCAGTGGATCACCTGTACAATACGCAATGGCCGATAGGGGCCAATACATTGCGAAATTTTGATCCTTGATAATATATATTACGGAATAAGAGAAAAATCTGAAGCATGTAGCAGGCTAGCAGCAATGTATGCTTTTCATGGTATGCACTGACCCAGGTTTAGGGGCTAAGTGTCCACCAATGCCAAAAAAGAAGAAAAGTAAATTTCTTTTCGTTTATTTTTCTCTTAATCTTTATGCACTTGCAGTTTCTACAAACCAAACCATAAGTTAGCATTAGCACATTTTACCACTAGATAGTTGTGGTTAATACCTCATAAGAAAGTTCATGTAATTTGAAGGTGTATAAATAGTCTGCTGCCTATTAATTTTCATGGCATCAAAAATCATATTTCTAGGCAGCCAAAACAGCATCAAGACCAATAAGGCCAATTGAGGTGAATATTTCATTGATTAGCACTGGTGACAGCATGCCACACATGCCAAACCATACCATAAGTTAGCATTAGCACATTTTACCACTAGATAGTCGTGGCTAATACCTCATAAGAAAGTTCAAGTAATTTGAAGGTGTATAAATAGTCCGCTGCTTATTAATTTTCATGGCATAAAAAATCATATTGCTAGGCAGCCAAAACAGCATCAAGACCAATAGGGCCAATTGAGGTGAATATTTCATTGATTAGCACTGGTGACAGCATGTCACACATGCCAAGTCCAATTAAATGATGTAGATGTAAGGCAAACATATGCACATGTTAATTATGAAAATACTTATCACAAAAAATGGGGATAGTTCAGGCAAATTCACAGTTAAACCTTTTTATCACACCCTGGCTGGAGATGATGGTTCCCCAATTCCTTGAAGTTGGATTTGGAAAGTTAGAATCCCATCAAAAGTTCTTCATCTGGACAGTCATTAAGGGGAAAATACTCATGATTGACAATCTCAGGGCTAAAGGTTTGATCATTACAGATTGATGTTTTCTATGTAGTTTGGCAGCAGAATCTGTTCAGCATCTGGTCATTCACTGTAACTACACACAGAGGATATGGTCACACTTTCTGAAGCCTTTTGGTGTTTATGGGTATTACAGATTGATGTTTATGGGAAAATACTCATGATTGACAATCTCAGGGCTAAAGGTTTGATCATTACAGATTGATGTTTTCTATGTAGTTTGGCAGCAGAATCTGTTCAGCATCTGGTCATTCATTGTAGCTACACACAGAGGATATGGTCACACTTTCTGAAGCCTTTTGGTGTTTATGGGTATTCCACCCCCCCCCCCAACCTGTGCTTCATCTTCTCTGCCTGGAAATCAAAGAATTTTAGCTCACATGGAAAAATTTTATGGAATGTCACTCCAGTTGCTATGTGCTGGTTCATGTGGGGAGAAAGGAATGACAGGGCTTTCCATAACAGCAGCTGTCCACTTGAGAAAGTATGTGAAAAGGTAGAAAGGAGCATTGCAAGATGGGTATCCATATCCAAGGAATTTGCTGGTTTTAATTTTTCTCGCTTTGTGGTTAACTGGGATAAAATTATCTGGTATCTTTGATGATGCTCTGGGATTTACTAGAACTGTACTGAGGGAATCTCTCCCTTGCATTCCTGCTATTTCATTAATGCATTTTATAATGACCTTTACCTTTCAAAAGAATACTTACTAAAAAAACGTGAATAAAAAAAACTGAAGATAAACTTAGTTCTGCAGGACTTTATGGCTAACATGCATGCAATGATACTATGGAATTTAAGGAAAAAATCATAATGGAATTTAAGAAGAACAATAAAAAGCATCCTTGTAGATAACAGGAATTATACTTTTCTTATCAACAACAGAAATTAGACAAATTTGGCAACAATTTAAGTCTGCAGATCCTGTGGACACATGAATGCATGTAGGACTGTTCATTGTGATAGAATTCCATGATACAGGCCGATAAAGAACAGCACAAGACAGCATAATTACCTGCACGACAGCTTTCTCTCCATCAACTTCTAGGACTTGCCCACGCCTAGTTGTTCCATCTCCCAAACGTATATTGACAATCTCCTGATATTTTGGACCCTAAAGCAGTTGAGAAATAGCAATTTAAAATCAGTTGATGCATGCATCATACCATCCTGTGGAAAAATATCATATAACCCAGAAAAGAGCATAAACAAAAATACTAGTTGAACAAGGACGTCAAAGAAACCTACCTTAACTTTGTCTAAGATAACTAGTGGTCCTGCAACTCCGGAGACAGTTCTATACTCTGCAAAGAGCAAATAATGAAGTAAATCTCCAGTTCAATGTTGAATGCAACCTCAGCCATTAAGGCAATAACTGGCTAAGTTCTGTATGAAGCTAAATCTTTTCTTACCACAACAAGTCAATTATACTTATACAATATCAATCATGCAATATACTCTATCCATGCCCAAAATTATACAGGAAAATTCATATCCACCTTCTACTGAGCTTTCTTTCAATTTAAAAGAACTTGGACACTTTGACATTTGATGAAAAAGATAATTTCTATGTTAACAATCAAGACACTCTTTAATGCAAACTTGCTTTAATTTGCAATATAGCTTCTTTATTGTTGAAAGATACATTTAAACTTCAATTTGGCATGTAGAAAAGAAAATGGATGATAGGGTTTTGCACAATTTAGTGAAAGAATATAAAGAGTTACTATTGGGTTGGCATATTCTATCTAACTACCAAGTACCACCTGGAAAGCATTCTTAAAAATCCAACATACTAGTTCCCACTTGCCAGTTTTCCTCCTCTCACTGGGAAATGGATGAGTATAATTTAATAAATACAAGCTCAGTATTGAATTTGAGATTATCAATAATCACAAACAAGGCCATCAACAAAATGTAAAATAACAAAGAAAAAACACCCACTCTGGATGCAAAAGACAGTAGTAAGTTCAAAATTTCTTACGCTAACATATGCAATTAAATCTATAGGAAAATAACACTCTATGAACCTTATGAATTTAAAATAAGAGAAACAATTGAATAGCATGAGGATGAACTCTATGAATCTAAAACAAGAGAAATAATTGAATAGCACGATCAACTTACCCATGCCAATCTCTAGGGTTCCTTCTTCCATGTTGAAATTTTTCTGTTCCATACCCATCTTCAACCTGATGAAATAAGAGCACTCACTTATTGGACAATATTGCCAGAGAGAGACACAACATAATTTAACATAGACCGTTCTAGTATACTAACAAACAGTGCTAACCAAAAAATAATATAATAGTAAAAGTGGCTTCTTCATCAATAAAGTAACCTTACAAAGCTAACAGAAACTATAATGCAAGCAACAGTATAAGAGTTAAAACTGTATAGTTGTTCGAATGTTTGATCAAAGGTCATTTCCCAACATACATGAATTTAAATCAGAAAAAAAGAAAAAAATAAACTCAGTAAGAAGAAGTTTAAACTGGCCTCAGACCCCTCTGATGATTTAGAGGTGGGGGTTTTACTTTGGATCCGGATCGTTAGCCAAGTAATCACAAGTTCCGGGAATCAATACAAGAATACGGTGCTAATTAAAGTGAAACATCAAGTTCAAGACAATTTAGCCCTAGAAAACTCAAACAATTTCGACTTTTCTCGAGTGTGGAAAGAGCTACGAAGAGATTAACACTAAATTTTATTCAAAACTTCGATTAGAATCATATATCATTACTCAGCATTAGATCGAATGAACAGAAACCCTCCAATTGATCCGAACGATCATTCGGATAGGAAAAAAGTTATCAGACACGAATCCAATTGAAAAAAAAAATGCTTTGTCAATTGAATGGTTCAGTGACGAATAAGAATAATCAAATTTGAAACAATATCAAGAAGAGATCTGGGGAAGGAAGTTACCTTTGATCTCTGAGGGAGAGATGTACAGCGAGAGACGACGTATAGAGGGAGATCTGACAGATAGGGGAAAAGATGAACAATAATAGGCACTCAAGTGACTTCTCTACACAAAGAAAAAATTAATAGTAATAATAATAACAATGATAATAATAAAAGTTCAGGTGACTTCACTATTTTACGCCCTTTCTCAATTCTATTTTACTAATTTTTCCCCAATTAATAGGTGGACGGGGGTTTGCTAAAATGCGCCGAAGCCACAGCGAGTGAAAGTTTGTGGTTAGATTTTTGGGAGAATGACGGTTCAGGGTCAGAATTTTTAGGCTCAAATTACATTTTCGATAGGTGTTAACTCGGAATTGATGCCAATTCATGGGCAGGTACAGGTGAATAGAAGGTGGGTTTTTGACCTTAAATGTTTATAGTTTTATAGTGGAACTCAGAAATCTGTTTTTATAGTGGAAATCAAAAAATCTACTTTTCGGTAGATTTTTTGAGTTTTAACTTTTAAGTTTAACTTGGGCCTAAGCTCAGGTTGGGTTTGCATTGGGTAAATCGGTAATCCAAGCATACCCTGAGCCCAATTGATCCAATTTGAATTCAATCTAATCTGATTAGCCCGATCCAATATTTTAAAAACCGTTTGATTTGAATAAATGGCCCATTCTGACAAAAAAATAAATATAATTAAAATGATATATGATTAGATTTGGCTTTTAGTGTTTGCACCCATAATTTAAAGATAAATATAACACTGAATAAAATGGAGTGGCGAAGTGGAGGATTAGACCCAAGCTCAGTAAAACTATGTATATGTATCAATTTTTTTGTCTTCAATGTATATGTATCATCTAATGATGTTTGTATATAGTTATCTTTTACCCTATCGATTTCTAAGTTGGGATGCAAGCTGAGTTGTGTTGAATTTAGCTCAGATTGGGCTTGGGATGATGAATTCAAGCTTTAACTTGGTTCAATAAGGCCCAGCTGCCCAAGGCCTAAGACCTTAGTAGTAAGACTCAATTGCCTTCCAGCCCAATTCAATCTGCCCAAGCTCGAGCCTTAAAATAGATAGAAGTAATAAAATGGGCAGAGAGATTATCCAAAAATAAAATAAAATAAAATGCCAGAGACAGTTTGTTCATCATCATCATCACTTAGGTCTTGTCCCAACGATATGGAATCAACTACATAAATCTGGTTTCACCATTCTTTTCTCTTTAGTGTTATATTCATTGTTAAATTATGCCCATAGACTGTTTGTTAATAGTTTTAATCAAGGTTCAAAGTATCGATACAGGTAAGGCATATTGGCCTGTATGGTGTTTTATTTTGTTTTTAAATCTGGTTCAGAGGGGTCAGTTTAAGGCCCGGCTACCCTTTGAACCATGGTCTGACCCAAAACACCCCTATAGGGGTGTATTGGGAAGACCATGATATGATACATCATAATGATATTTTGAACCTTGATTTTAATTGAGGTTGGTTTGAATTTGATTCCTATAGACCCTATAGGGGTGTAATGATAAAAGCTGAAGCTATAGCAACTATTCTATACTAAAGAGTATAACCCACACCCCTCGCATCCAAACGACCATCTCGAAACTTTTTAGTCAATTTATTTTCTTTCTCTCCACTCTTTCCTATTGTATGTGCATTCTAGTATTAAAAATGTTAGAGGTTAAGGCTGCATTTAACATTCCTTATTTTAAGGACTTATCCCTATGAATAGGGAGGCACAACATAGTAAACACATTCAATAAGTACTTACTAAATATTCTAACAACTGTCAAAAGTTGTTTTTGATCTTTTTCAATGATAGGCTGAGAGTATTTTAAGGGACTAGTAAGGGTGCACATGCTTTGCACGTGGTAATTTTAGATGATGATAATTATAGTAATAATATATCCAAAATTTTCTATAAACTTTATTTATTTTTGTTTATTTTTTTCTATTATTAACTAGATGCAGATTACAAAATCCAAATCTAGTTAAATAAACACCTCATCCAAATATGTGATAATCAGATCGAGTTGTGAAGTTTCAAGTATCATTGACAGGCCATTCTACTTAGCTAGACTTTTCTTTTTATAGTGTTTTATATTTTTGGCGTATATTTTTTCTTTTGTTCATTTATCAAAAAAATATAAGATTTAAATAGAGGGAATTGAATGAAGTAAAAAGTAGTAGTTCAATTTACAATTTAAACCTTACAATTAAATAGGGATTAAACTCAAAAATGAGTATTTTAGTCAATGTTTTAAAAATTGGACCAAACCATACAATCAAACCATTTGGCCTAGGAACCAATCAGGTCACTAGTTTCATTTTGGTCCAAACTGTCATTTTACAAAAAAAAATGTTGAAACGGTTAGAGAACCGCTAACTTGGATGGTTTAACCGTTAAAATGTTCAACCCAATTAACAATTCTCAAGTTGCCTTCAAACTAATTCCAAATTATTTATTTATTTTAAAATAAAAATTAGAAAGTAAAAAATTGAAAAAAAAAACTTTCATATGTCATAATCTTGTTCAATTATTCTTTGGCCAAAATTAGTTAGGTTTTTTATTTTTTCCATTTTAATTTTAAATTTTCTTATTTATATGATTCTTTGTAAGTTGTAACAAAAAAAAAAAATTGCAACTCTAATGAAGAAGTCGAAAAATTGATGCAAGAGATGAGATATTAAACATCGATTTTATATTAAAAACTGAGATGCACCAATGAAGCAAGCAATCTGGGATTTGAAAGAGATGAGAGAGATGTAAGAAAAGGGAAAACAATGCTATAGTGGTGGTAATGATGAACATGGAGAACGGTTCCTTCTTCTTATGCCTTTCTTTTTTGCAAAATTTATGTATTTTTATAATTTATTAATTTTTATTATTTATTTATGACATTAAAGCTTAACACATTTAACCCAAAAGTTAAACTATTTATCATTAATTTTTATATTTCATTTTTGGCTAGTTCTAAATTATGTATTTCATTTTCATTATTAATAAAAATAATTTTTGTTTATTACACTTATTTTTTAATTTGATTAATAAAAATATCATAAATGTGTGTTTTTTTACATTTTTTGTAAATTTTTATATTTATTTATATTTTAAAAATTTTATTACCTAACTGTAACTTCATAGGTTGATCAAATTGAATCAGATAGTTGAATTGTTTAGCCACCAATTGGATAAATAATGGTTTTGTTTTTGAGTCATTTTTAAATATATGGGTTTATATTGTTAAAAATATTAACATAGATATAATCATTATCATTTATTAGTGAGAAATAAATTGAAAATATAGGATTTAATAAGAAAAAATGAGATTTAATACCTTAAGTATAAGACTTAACGAGAGGAGATTAAATAAGATAGAAAGTAATAATTGAAATTACATTTTCATCCCTTACAATTAAAGATTGATTAAATACACAAATATGACCATCATATATAGTAGTTATTAAAGGTGGCACTAAAGCTATAATAAAGTAACTTTTATATCCTTTTTCAAATAAAAAAAATAGAGGATAACTTTAATCCAAAATAAATTTCACACTGCATTCACACTTTTATATATAGTATAGATAGATGCTAAAAATTTTTTCAAGTACTCATTCAATGTGCTAACAATGTTGTGCTTATCTGATCCATACTAAGCACTCAATTTTTAACCGCAAAAAGGAGATAAATCCTAATGGCAAATGCAACCTAAATAAATTCTATGACCATAATAAAAAAACACTATTCAAAACGCTTAAAGAAGTTACAGTGGTGCAGATGCCATTCTTCTCGATTACAAATGAAACCTGATTTAGTCCTGCAAATCAAAAAAAAAAAAAAGAAAAGAAAAAAATTTCTTCGAGACTTGCCACATGGATAATGAGTCCAAATAAAATACGTACATACAAGTAACTAATCTAGAGAGTAAGGACGAGGTGTGATATCGACTTATTTGTTTGCTAACTACAAATGTCAGACTTACTGAAGCTTCCTGGGAGGACGCTTCCCTAGTCGTTTCCTCCTTCAATCCATACACTATCTAAAGGAAGGTCGAAGGCTCACAAATACTGATGCAATCCAAACTGAACCAAAAGTTAGATTGGGCTACCTAAATTCTTATAACATTTGTTTGGGCTGAGAATCTCAACGATCAAAATTCAAAACCCTAGTTGAGCAATCTGATAATGCTTATGGCTTGGGCCACTCGAATTTCCATTGTCGGTATGTATACGACACTACGACTGCATGGAGTCATTAATATCTTAGCAGCACCCATAATTTAATTTGTTGCATTCAATTTCAGTTAATTGGTGATAAAAGCTTTGTTTTAACCCACAACCTTCCAATAGCACAGAAATAGAATGATACAACGTGTTGCCAAGTACACCTTTGCGGCAACCTAAAAGCATAAGTTGTTAGGTAAGATTATGAATAAATTTTTATTCTTTAATAAGCTCTTTCATGTGATAGTTTATTTGACTTGAAGAATGGATAATTATATGTTCACTTATATCTTGTGTTTAAATTTAATTAATTATAATAGCAGGATGAGTATCAAATAGTGATCTTAATTGGACTGGATTTGATCCAATTCGATCCAGTCTAATGTGAGTCTATTATAAATGGACTAGGTCTAGTCCAATCCAATGAATATTTTGGACCATTTTGGATTGGTCCAATTTAATGTTTGGACTGTTCAATCTGTTCAAATTTGTTTTCATTTAGATTGGTTTCAATTCAAACCTGGACCATTGACACCTATATTTTTATCTTATATCAACGGACTAGATATTGGCTTAACCCAACCCAATCCAATATAAATTTATTACGGACGTACTAGGTTCAGTCCAATTTAATAAATATTTTGGATCGGATTAGTCGAATCCAAATATGTCTTGTTGGTCTGTCCAAATTGATTTCGGACTGGACGGGGTGCAATCCAAAATAGGTCCATTGACACCCTTCGTATCAAGCACTAAACCACTTGGTCAAACAAACCGTTCAACTAGAGTTGTAAATCGAGCTAGGTGCGGGCCATGCCAGGCCCAACACGATGGTTCGGGTCGTGCTGGGCCTGGGGTTCTAGGTCAATGGGCCGACATTATTGGGGGGTTTTTTACAAAAATACCCCCAATAGCTATAAACAACTATATAGGAGGTATTTATGTATTTTGATTTTGGGGAGAGAAAGAATGAGACAAATGCTCTCCAACAGTTATATAATAGCTAATTTAGGGGCATTTTGGGTAAAGTGATAAATAACTTTGTAATAACCAAAATACCCCTTCAATAATTAAAAAATGACTAGTTTTTAGGGTATTTTGGGTAATTGAATTATTTTCAGTTCCTATAAATAGCCTTATCCTCCACCATTCTCATCACACCAATTCAACAATTCTCTTAATCTCTTCTTTAGTTCTCGTACTCTCTCAAGTCTCAATCTCTCTCATACATTCTCTGATTCTCCAATTCTCAACTTTATTAAAGTTTTAACAAGAAGAAGGCTTGCTCAACAACTCAAGTATCTCAAGTTAGCAATTTAGGAGGCTTGCTCTTGGAGTTGAAAGGCTTCAACTGTTGAAATCAATTTGGGATTCTGAATCGGCAATCCGGGTAAGTGCAATTAAATTAATTTTTATTTTTTTTAGAATTAAAAAAATTGTCAGCTCCTCCCGAAACCAATTCCCCAACATGTTCAATGTTGATGATATTCAATCGTGGCATGGTAGTGTTAGCACTGATATAGATGCTATTGATATTGACGGAACTTCCACCCCTAGTACTAATATTGGGAGAAAAAAAAAGAAAGCCACTAAGTTGATTAGCCCAATTTGGAAAATATTTAAAGTAGAAGAGGTTTAGGGAAATGGAAAAAGAGTTATTTGCTAAAAATGTAGGAAAAACTTTAGCTATTGTAGCAAGGGTGGTACTAGCCATTTGGGCAGACATTTGCTCACCCATGAGAAAGAAGAAGAAGAAGAAGAAGAAGAAGAAGAAGAAGAAGAATGGAGAGAAACAACACAAACACAAATTGGGTGAGAGGGGTTAGTACTTTTAAATATTCTCAAGAAAAAATGAGGCAAGAATTAGCAAAATACATTGTATATGATGAACAACCATTTTTGTTAGATGAAGATACTAATCTTGAAAAATGGTTACGTAATTTTGTAAACCCACAATGTAAAAAAGTTTATAGGAATACTATTATATCATATGCTTTAAAATTTTTTTATTCATATAAATAAAATTTAATTTATATGTTATCAAATCTTAATTCTAAAGTTGCAATTACATATGATATTTGGAATTCTAAATTTAACATAAGTTATATTTGTGTCACCAGTCATTTTATTGACGAAAATAAGCTTTTAAGTAAAAGAATTTTAAGTTTTACTAGGCTTGAATGGCCACATACTGGCCCAGTTATTGCTGCAAGTATTTTAAATACTTTACATGCTTATGGAATTGATAATAAATTATTTTTTATTAGTTTTGATAATGGTAGTAATAATGATTCAGCAATAAATATTTTAAAATCTTAATTAAAATCATGTTTAAATGGTAAATTATTTTATATCAAATGTGCATGTCACATCTTAAATTTATGTATTCAAGATGCTTTAAATGTTATTTCTACTCATATTTCTAAAATTAAAAATTGTATTATATATATTAAAAGTTATAGAGCAAGAAAACAAGAATTTAAATATTTATGTCAAAATTATGGTTAAAGATATAAACATTCTATATTAGATGTTAAACATAGGTGGAATTCTTCCTATGGTGTGTCAAAAAGTTGTATTTCTCACAAACAAGTTCTTAGTGATTTTTATAATTCAACTAATGAATTATCGAGTATTTATTATCCAACTAGTTGTAATTTAGCTTACCAATTTATGCTGATTAGTGATTATTTTGTAAAATATAAAAAGAATCTGCAATTTAAAAGTAATGTTGAAATAATGGAAAATAAATTTAAAAAATATTGGGAGAACATTTCTCCTCTTTATTGCTTAGTTACAATATTAGATCCTAGGATTAAGAAATATGGTGTAGATATGTTACTTGAAACATATTGTGAAAATATGAATATTGAAAGTGGAAATAAAAAATAAGAAATTAATAGTTTATTATTTTAAATGTATAGTTTATATGAATTTGAAGTAATATGGAATAATAAAAATTGTACAACTTGTACAACTGCATCTTCCACTTTTGAACTTAAGTCCACTAGTGGAAGAAAAAACTTTTTTATTTAATAAGAAGTAGAAATCCACTATCTCGACAACAAATTCATGTACTGAAAGAAATTTTTATTTACAAGCAAACTTTTCTACTTTAGGTGATTCTTCCTTAACCTCGAAGGGAACAAATAATTTTGATACTTTAGCCTGGTGGAGTGAATATGCAAAAAAGTATCCAATTCTTTCCGCCATGGCACATGATCTACTAACACCTCTAGTGTCTACAATTCTATTGGAGTCAATGCAGGAATTAGGGTGTTGGATGACAAGAAAAGCTATATGAATGATAAAAGTCTAGAGATGTGCATATACTTTAAAGGTTGGATGGATGCTGAAGATAGATTACAAGATAAAGAAGGGCATGACACCACACTTGATGTTTCACTTGAAGTAAATGATCAAAGTCAAGAATAATAGGAGAAAATGATGAAGTCAATATTTTTTGTATATTCAATAGTTGTATAGCATTTTTTCAAATTATTGCAAATTTTGTTTTAATTTTATTTAAATTATTTGATATTTTTTAATAACGTAATTTTTTATTTTCAATTTGTAACTATATTGTATTTTTTATATTTTATTAATCTATTCCATTTTCCAATTTTCATATTTCATTCATCCAACCATTGTGTGCTTTGTATCATTCAAATTTAAATGAAATAGAATTCCTATTTTGTCTTCCAATTTGTTATTCACTTTGAGTCTTTGTATTTTGACTTCTTATTTGGTTAAGTATTTTTTTTTTCATTTCTTTGTTAGATTTCTTTTTTTTTTCAAATAGTTCCCAAAGGCCAAAGGAAAGTTAAATATTTTAATTTTACTTAGCAAAGAAATAAAAGAAATAAAAAAAATAAAAAATGTAAAAAAAAAAACAGTCAGGCCCGGTTCGGCTCACACCCAAGGCCCGGCCTATGGCCTAGCCCAGCATGGCACAAGCCCACAGCACAACACAGACCCGCATGGGCTTGGGCCGTGGGCTATGCCGGGCCGACCTCCCCAAAATTATCTCTCGGGAGGGTTGCACGGCCCAGAATGGCCCATGAGTCGACACAACACAGCTTGCACTTTGCGCGAGCCATAAGTGGCCCGACGGCCCGTTTTACACCTCTACGTTCAACCTAAAATATTAAACTGTTAGGTGAAGTCCCTGAATATGTTTTTATTTTCTAACAAGCCCCTTCGTGTGAAAGCCTTGGCTTGAAGCGTGGATAAGCACATGCCCATCTATACCTTTCTTAAATTTAATTAATTATAAGAGGAGCGATGAGGATTTAACACTAAACCACTTGATTTCTTGAATCTCCAAAGTCTAAAGTGAAACAATCCCCATGTCAAATCTCACATCACATTTATTAATTGATACAAAGGGAGGCACAACACACAACACTATGGCATATTAACAATATTATCACTAACAGAGTACCAAATCCAAATACCCAACACTGTGGCATATGATCCAAGTACCAAAAAACTTACATGCATCCAACAACTTGTTAAATTAGCAACATTAATTTGAACTGAAGACGATGGGTAGGCAGAATCAGAAGTGCTCAACCAGTGGAGCCACGCTTCACTGCCTTGACACACTTGGTGTGCACCTCATACCCACACTCGATGCACTGGTAAGCCCAGCCCGACCCCTGCTCGTCACATTCGCAACATATAAAGGGTCCTCCCCCACTGCCCTCAGACACCAAGGTCAGCTCATGGCGGTGTCCGGCGTGGTGCTCCGTCACAGGGAGGCCCTTGGCTTCCTCATTCCTCTGTTTCTCAAGGATCTCCAGTTGGGCCTTGGTGAAGGGATAGGCCTTCTCCTGGTATAGGTTTATCAGGTTTCTCCCATGTTTGGTGAGTGTCTTACCGTCGGGACCCAGGATCACCAGACAAGGTATCCCCTGCACGTCGAAGTACCTGGTGAGGTTCTTGATTGTTGGGTCTCCAAAGGGCAAAGCTAGCCACGGCATGGTCCCGAAGTAGGAGTCGAACGCAGCTCGGTCACGATCGCTCGACACAAACACTATCTCGAAGCCCTCCTCCTTGCTGTCTGCAGCTCTCTTCTTTTCCACTATCACTTGCTTTATCTTATGGTAGATGGAGATCAACTTGGGCGTGAACCTGAGACAAGGGAGACACCACTGAGCTGAGAAGTAGAGTCCAATGGTTCTCCCTACCAAGGACTCAACCTCAACCTGTTTGAGTATGGACTGGCTCAACAAGAAGCTTCTGTTGTGGTTTATCAGTAACTTGGTTATCGTCTGATTCTCGTGCTTCTCCTTCTCTTCCTTCTCCAGCTCCTCCAATCTCTGTTTAGTGAACGGAAAAGCTCGGACCCCATACCGGTAAATGAGCTCAACACCTTCACGTAATGTTGATTCGTCTTCGTTATCGTCAGGTTGGAGAATAATTAAGCATGGAATTCCTTCAACTTGGAACCTTCGGTTCAGAGCTTTCTTCGATTCCAGGTCAGAGAAGGGAATGGCGAGCCATGGCATGCACGCACGATAACTGGCAAAGGCATCGGAGTCTTCGTCCGATGACACGAAGACGACTTCGAAACCGCAGCCTCGATCTTTTAGTTGTTCGTATACACCCGCTAGAACAGGCGTGAAATTTCGACATGGTTGGTACCAGTTGGCCGAGAAGTAGATGCCGACGACCTTGCCTTCGAGGTCCGATACTTTAACCTGCGATGAGACGACGAGAAAGATCATCAATTTATTCAAGAGCTGGGAACCAAACCGTTGTAAACAAAATAAGGTTAAAGTATATCGGCATGGTATCGTGTATCGTATCAATAACTTGATTGGATATCAATACTTCAATAATAATTAAATATAAAGTTGAAATGAATATGTAAACATAAATACGTACATTAATAAATGCAAACTTATAATGAAGAAATACGTTTACAATTAACAATATTCGGAATTTAAAAGGGATTTGACCTATTTCAGGAGTAGAGGGGACTGAGACCTAATGCAACCTTTGCACCGTATTAGGGTTAGAACTGTTCATGGGCCGGACTTCAGGCCTGATTTTACACTATATCGGAGCCGGGCCTATTCAAAATTTGGTAAAATTCAAGTCCAAACCCAGCCCATGAATACGTCTTTAAACTTTATTTAAAGTATATACATATTATACAATAATTTTATTAATAATGCACCAAACAATGTTTGAACTTCCAAGTTTCAACCTACTTAAAATTTACTACAAGACACATTTATTGTTATTGAATAAATGAATTTAATAGATCAATGGTAGGTCCATCTTTCTATGTTATATAGTTCTTATAATGAAAACCATTTATAATATATAAAATAAATGACTTTTTAATTTTTTATTTTTTCTAAAATTTAAGAAAAAAACTCATTTTTGGCATAAATTATTGTTAGATCAATGAATTTATAGTTCTTTCCTACAATGACAAATCATTATGTAGTTCTTTCCTACAATGAAAATCACTTAAAATATATAAAAAATGATTTATAAAATTGTAAAAATTCGGAATAATCAGCATTTCTGACCAGTGCCATCATCAGTAGTGGTGCTGTCACTGGCGGGTTGTACCATTTTCTATCCATCCAACAAATTAAATTACCAGCAAACAAAATGAAAATTAACCATTTTGGGATCTGATTACAGTTTCTAATTAACCTCACAAGACCGTGCGACACTGTACTCACATCCACTTGCAACCGTGTATTAAGAATATCTCCATATATACATATATGTTTTTATTGAGATATTCCCAATAACACAGTCTTGTGAGGATACAAAAGAAATATATGTTGAGGTGTAAAACCTTATATTTTGTATCATTTTGTATGTATTTACGTATATATTTTATATTTGTACTCTTTCAAAACTGAGCCCAAAAGAAATAGACAAATAAGTACAAAACAGGAAACTACTTTTTGAATTCGGGACAGCAAATGACTAATCTAGTTGGCAAGAGCTTTGAATTAGTGACTGGTATGTCCTCTATTCAAAACCCGTTTCCACCTTTTTAACTCGTTGATCTAGCACCAGCTGGATTATTGTTGCGGGTGGGGGAGGCCGATCGAGGCTTCCTCCACATGCTGAAACAATAGCGCCTGAGTGTCTTATCAGAGGTTTAGAGCTAGCTGGCATCTCTATAATGAGTCATCGATCAAATAATATATTCAATTCGATTACAGGCATTAATTAGATCTCTATCATGGACAATGGCTCCAGATCTAGTAGGCTGCTGGAATACTGCTTGCTAGTTCAAATAGGTAATTAGAGCCTCCATTAATATTGATTAAGAAATCAGTATGTTATCTTATCAGAAGATTCATGGCACTGGTTACGTAAAAAATGGTCGATAACCAAAGTATAACCAGAAGTGAGAGGTGTATATATTAATCCTTATAGCTTAATTGCTCTCTCTTAACCAGATAAAGCTTAAAAGCTTTATCATCATTTGATAAAAAAAAGCAAGGTTACAAGAGCAATAATCAGTTACAGCAACTCCCAATCCAACGATGATCCAGGAGGAATAAAGACTACAGCTTCCGAAAACTAAAGAATAACAGTACTATGCGATATGATTTCTCTACGCGCTCATAAATTGATCGCGTCGGATCTGAGCTTTTGTGTTTATTTCCATGGTTTTGAACCCGAAAAGGAAAAAACAACACAAAATATCATAGCTTCTATATGTTTTGTTGATCTGTGAACTCTAACAGAACTCAGAGCTAGAGTTTGGTGAAGATGAACTTATATATTCTCGATCTATTGTATGTTCACAGTATGTAATCAACGTTAAATCAGAAGATTTCTGTGCAGAGAGAGAGAGAGAGACCTGGTCTCCGGTTGAAGAGAGCAGAAAATCACGGTCTTTGGAAGCCAGGAGGGACAAAAATCTAGAGCTGAAGTCCTTCTTGGATTCGCCGTTCACGGCATCTTCTTCCTTCAACCCTTTCTTGTTTTTCTCCAGATTCAGTACTTCTTGCTTCATCTCCTCTTCCTTCCTGATTTCTCTCTCTCTCTAAAGCATTTGTTATTACATCCTTGATCCTTGCAGGTTTTTATAATTTATATTATACTCCTTATCAACTATTCCTACATTTGCATACATACAATCTCCATACTCACATTCCCCAGCAGTCAGCACGGAAGAGATGAATTCACCCATCTAACCATCCAATGTACCACGTGTTTTATTTTCCAAATTTCGTTGCCTTTTATTTGAAAATTGGCACTAGTTCAGATGATGTTTGATCAATTATTTATTAAATAAACTCTCTCTCTCTCTTTCTATTTGATCTCATTTACTTTTCGGTAACTTATTTATTCAGGTAAATGTAAATATTTGAGTAAATTTTTTCTGAGAAACACTTACTCGAGTAAATGTATTTACCCATGTTTTTTTATTTCTCATGTAAATAAAACAATGACCATTTTAGTCATAAGAATTCATTATTAAAAGGGATATTTTTGTCCTATCAAGTGTTAACAACTTTCCTCCTAGATGGAAAAGTTATTTATCCACCTAGAAGATGGGTATCAATTACCGGTGTAAATGATACCCAGGAAAATAAACTTTCCCTCATTCTCACATAAATTTAAAAAAAGAATATGAAATTCTTGGTCAATGAGAATCAAATTCCCATTGACCAACTTTTCCCTCCCAAAATCCGAAAAAATAAACGCTCCCTTGTGTAAAATTCATATGTTATAAAAAACTTTATTTTAATATTTTTTTTCAATAGGTGAGTTTTTTGAAATAAATAACAATACAACCAAACAGCCCCTAGATAAGAGGAAATGGATATGTCTCGACTGTATAAGAACACCGTAGAACTGCAACAATGCTCGAGAGAAATCCGATTTCCATGCAGAAGGGGGGGGGGGGGACACGTATAAAGGCGTCAAGTGTGATCTGATGTCCCTTTGAGGTTGTTGGGTTGAGCTGCCTCAACTCAATTATTCCAAATCCTCTGGGGCCTACCACCAACCCACTCCTGGATACCACGTTAGCCTATCAGATCTTCCCTTCCTTTAATAGCGTGGACACGTGTCTAACCAAGACCGTGCCAAGTGGGGAAAAAGCCAAACCGGTGACGCACTTGATAACGTCTCTGGATCACACTCTCTCAACGTCGGGTGACCGGCGACCCAACCAAGGAAGCAAGCAGTTCAAGATCTTTCCACGTGGCTATTTTCGTATCAGATTCCGACACGGGTGTCGGTTGGAGTCTGAACGAAGTTGTGTAAAGTACTAAAGTAGCTTCTTTGGAAACAAAACGTCCCTTTCTGAACTCCATCTCCATAAAATGGAAACAGCCAGAATTGGTATTGGGTTTGTGGATCGTGGTGACAAACTCTTGATGGGTGGGTGGTCCTGGTCCTGGTCCATTTTGATTCTTCCGGTGGGCTGGGCCCAGAAATGTTTCCCTTCTTTGTGTATAGAGAAAACTGGAAAGCTTCTCAGCCTCTCTAATTTTCCTTCGCTATACGTATTTAGAAAGCTTTGGTATCATGCTGAACCACCACATTAAATGGTCCCGTCCCTTGGGCTTGATTACGTGTCTCGCTCTTAAGCTTTTCTAGAATGGAGAAATCTCGTAAAAATGCTATCTAGTTGAAGTGGTGGTGCAGATGAGTAAAGTGTGTAATCATTCTGAGGCCTGCCTATTTATGAGCTATTTGGGCTTGGCTTTCTAAATATTCAACTTAAGGTCTGTTGGTTTCCTTTTAACTCTTATCACTTAAGATGAATCTTTTAATTTTAAGAGATAAATGGTTGTTCGCTTCTTTTTATTTCTTATCTCTTAAAGTGTAATCATACAACTTTTTATTTTCCAATGATACTCTCAAAAGACAAACAAAAACTCTCATATATGGAGCCAAAATGGATATTTGATAATTTTCAGATTCATTCAAAATTCAGAGGAAAGAAAAGTTCACCAATATCAATATACCTTTTAATGTAATTATTGCACTTTCAGATATCAGACTTTAGAACAAATGAATAGGCCCTTAGTTCGTAGTAATTAAGTTTGAGCTTTGCAATAATCAGCTCAAGTGGCTTGTGATCCTAATTGAGCTTGTAATAAAGTATTGTTTTTTTAATATATTTGTATTTATTATATAAATATGTATTAATTTTTTGACACTAATTTATTTATAATATAAATAAATACATTTGTATTTGAATATCATAATATATTTTTATGGAAAAATTCTCAATTAGTACCTTGTACTTTGGGCCTATGTCACTTTGGTCCTTGAACTTTAAAATGTTACAATTCAGTACCCAAACTTTTAAAACGTGATAGTCTAATGCCTATCGTTAACTAGCTGTTAATTAGCCATTAAGTGGCATTTGAAAAAGACACAAATGCCTTTTGAGTGTTATCTAATTTTCTTTATCAACCACCCAAACATCGGCAAAAAATTAATAGTCCCAAATCATTGCCTCTTCTATTCAAATGTGACCTCAACTTTCTTGAATGGAAGAGGCAATGATTTGGGACTATTAATTTTTTGCCATCATTTAGATAGTTGATAAAGAAAATTAAATGACACTTGAAGGGCATTTGTGTCTTTTTCAAATGTCACTTAACCGTAGGTTAACATCTGATTAACAACATATACTAGATTGTCACATTTTGAAAGTTTGGATACTGAATTGTCGCATTTTAAAATTTGAGGACCAAAGCGGCACTAGACCCAAAATACAAAGTATTAATCGAGAATTTTTTCTATTTTTATTTATAATATTTATAATATTAATTTTATTATAATCAGTTCGAATCAAATTGAGCTCAAATAACATGCAAGTATCGACTCGAATTGAGTTTGAGCCACATACATGAACCTAGATCTAGCTCCAATCAAGTTCGAGCTCTGTGTTTTTTAGTCAAATTCGAGCTCAAACAGCCTGATATTCATCTCGACTCTACTCAATTACAACCCTAAATAGATTGTTGCTCGATGAATAAGCAATGAACGAAAGCCACATTAGATTAGAAATTTAGAATAGGTAAGGCCTAAAGCCTTGTTGATTGGTGGATAGCCTTGTTTCTATCTTTCTAACAATTTAGTTTACAAACAGTCAGCTAGCTAGGTAAAGTGCAAATGAGCCAAGCTTTTGACAAAGCTGCAGGGCTCCAGAGTGGCAGAGTGGACACAACCAAAAGGCAAAAGCACTTTGATCGACCATCATCATTTAGTGAGTACTGAGGAGGATCTTTTAAATGCCCAGGTCCCAGAAAAGTAACAAACAGGCTATATGAGTATATTTCAGCTCAGCAATCAACCAATCCTCGTGTGTCATTATAATCAATTTCATGCACCAAAAACAACGTGAGCCATGCTGTTACCATACTTTATTTTCATTAAGCAGGGTAAGGTTTTTAAAACCGGTCTAGATAGGGAATTGTTCTGGGACCGGTTTTTGGGTCAAACGGTTCGTCTGGGTTAATGATTTGACTGCTCGAGTTAATGGGTCACTGACCAAATCAATAGTTTTTTGTCAAAAAACAATTTTAAGGTGAAACGGAACCGATTATCTGACTGATTCTCGGTTTTTCTGGTCCAACTGTCCGATCCAGTCTAATCTTGACAACCATGGAGCAGGGAAATCTCATGAGAGGACATGGAACTGGAATGTTAAAATTGAGGGTAATGATCATGGCTTCACGAGGAAGCAGTCAAATAGTTTGAGACTTTGAGCCCTACTACTGTAATTAAAATTTGCCACGTCAAAGGTACGAGTAGCACAGGGTGTTCCATGTCCTTCATGCAAGGGCTACCACAAATAAATTCCCACTCTGCTGTTCCTGAGAAAGGAAGAAAATCATTGGGGAAACAACAAATCAAAGCAGTCTAGATCTACTACCTACAAATTGTTCCCACATCTTTACCCACATAACATCACCTTCGTGTATTGGGAGCGATCTCCCCATGAATGACAAGGGAAATATTTCCAATTTGCAGTTATAATGTCTTCCTATGTGAGAACAACTCATGGGCAGCAAACCCCACCCTGCACTCTTATGGAAGTCGGATTAGATCCTCACAAGACCATACACCATTTGCACCAAGGTTTTCAAAACCAACCTGGAGACCGAACCGGTCAGGGGTCCAGTTCCCAGGTCAAACGAACGATGAGCCTGTTCTGACAAAGAAATAAAAAGCGATCAAAATCGTTAAATGATTCGAATGGTTCAACCGCCCAAATCGACAGTTTACTGACCAAATCAACGATTTATTGCAAAAATCCGGTTTTATGGAAAATAGGACCGATCACCTGAGCGGTTCCCGATTTTTCCGGTCCAACCGATGAAAACCATGGTTCGCACAGTCCCTTACAACCTTGCATTAAAAATATCTCCCCATAAAAAAAGGCATACAAGGACAGAGACATTCCTAATACACGGCTGTAAAAGGCTGTGAGGACCGAGTGAGCACTGAATCCGATCTCATTTTTATGAGATGCCCTCCTTATTTCCTACACAATCGGAGCAGCGCTGAAATTCTATCTAAGCAAATCCAAATGGCATCGAATGGTGAACAGATCATCAAGTTTTACCCCCTGTAGGGTATAAGAGAGAACTTTGAGGCCAAAGCGCTCAAAATCAGTCGACTGCTTTGGTTGCATCATTTGCCTTAACCATGCTTTGATCCTTTATCTTATTTTGAGCAAGTTCCACTGTAATACCATTCCATTCATTTTAGTAGTTCCTAAAAACTTGGTTAAGGTCATCCATATGCGCAACCGATTAAGGTCATAGGGTGTCGATAAATAAGCATGTTAAAGGAAAACGTATAGCATTTGTACTCCTTCCAAACTAAGCCTAAACAATCAATAACTAAGACAAATGAAAGTGTAAAGTTCTAGAAAACTCTTGAGAAGCTGTAAATAAATTAGAGACCACATTCACAATCATCCCATAAACCCTTGGGCAGAGTACACTCTTCACTCTCTTAAATCACCTGTAACCGCTAAGAGACACAGAAAGGAAAGGAGAAACTAAAGAAGTAGAATCAAAATCTTCAGTAGCCAACGTCATAAATTTTACAGAAAAGAAAAATAAATACAAAATCGCAAGCAACACAATCAACCTCTGAGAAGCGTCTCCATGGCTTCAAAGAAGAGTGGTGCCATATCGGGACCAGGAGTCTTGATTGCACACTTGACGCCAGGGATACCAACAACTGCTGTAAGTTCAATTAGGAATGAGGTTCCCCTGAGGATTTTGGCTGAGAGATACAGTACCTCCTGGTTTGCATGCCTCCGCTTTGCAATGAAGAAAATGTTGGATGCAGCAAGGCGGTCAAGGGTGGCTTCAATGCTGTTCACCACGGCGCCTGATATGTCCTTAGTGACCTCATTTGAGTCGGGTAGGGACTTCCATGTCTGCAAAGCAACAGAAAATCTGAAATGATCAGAATGAGCAACAGAAATAAAACAAACTTCAATCCATATGCTCGCCCAGAGGAATAAAACATTATCTGACCAAGGTGAAAACAGGAGGGAAGAAATTCGCTTGTTATATAACAATCTGGCATAAAAGCAACAGGATCTGCCAAACTTCTAAGAATTTACCTCAAGAAAGGTTGTACGCTCCATTTTACCATCCTCGGAGAAGAAGACCAACAACGAAATTTTATCATTGAAGTACCACACAGGCTGTTGATTATTTTTTACCGCAACCTGCAGAAGGGTACTTGGAGGACCAGGAGAGACATTCTGGAACAACGCCATAGGTAGAAGGGTCCTGGTCGATGTGCCTGGTTGCAATTGTGGGACCTAAGGAACAGAAGAAAAATTATAATTTTGACAGAGACACAGAAAACGAACTAATCAAAGGCCAGGTATCTACCTGCAGGGGTGCAGCAGCTGCAAGACCAAGTGTATTCTTGTTGAACTGAATCAGGAAACCATCAAGAGTGATCTGTGTGTTGTTCTCAAACAACATGCTGTAAAATATCTGTCCATCATGTTGTGTAAGCTGAGCACTTATCTGTAGGCCCTGACCGTTGGCAGACGGTAGCAAAACAGGTAAAGGAGGGCTGCAGAGAGCGTTTGCAATAATAATCAGTGTCTTTAGCGTAATATGCATTTATAACCCCAAAACTGTTGGTTATACCGGTAGACAGGCGGTAAAATTCAACAATACTCACCCACTAGGTTTTGGAGGCTCATCAGCAGGGACAAGTGTATTATCCAGGCCAATCAAGTCACCCAGTAGGTCTGGCACTGGAGCAGGAGGTGCAGGTACTGGTGCTGGCTGCCTTGCTGCAGCATTGGGAACATTACTTGAAGCAGTTGGTGCTGAAGTACTACCATCAGCCGCATGAGAAGGAGTTTCAGAATAACCTGTCTCACCCCCATCAGGATATTCATCATCTTCTGGTCTTTGGACTGCAGTTTTCACACGACTTACAAATGCATCCGGTGGCTTATGATATACAGAAGATAGAGTAGCAATGTTCGCTAGAAGTTCATCAAGAAGTGAAGGATCAAGTTGGTTCGAATCATCGCTGATCACAGGCTTCTCTGCTAACACGACATCTTTAGCTGCCTGAGATAATGGGGGTCCAATGTCATGGGTTAATGGTAAATATTACAATTATCTTAAGATATTATAAACATGCACAACCATAGAAGTGCTTATATACACTAGATCTACCTCAGGATCAGTTGAAAGAAGGCGCCAGTAAATGTAGGCACGATCCCGGAGATCTGGATTGTCTGTCTCTACAGTGGCATTATTCAGAACAACCTGTAAAAGCACAGTTAAAGCATAAACCAAGATGGCACGAAATCATATAGAACAACAATTAAGAACTGTGAACTTCAAGCATTTTCCAATACACAGAAGAAGAGTAAAATCAACCTTCTAGATTGTAGTCCGATTTGTAATTATCACATGCAGTTTGATGGCATGAGCAGGGCATGCAGAAATACACAACAGAATCTAAAATACAAGCTATTTTCACACAGTGTAACATATCTGAACTACTACTATAGGCCAATAAATTCATCAAACATGGATTCAACACCTTTATAATTGGGAAGAGAAATGCATAACCAGACCCAGTCTATGTATGTTAGGGTTACCCAACCTAAACCCTCAACAAGGGAGGAGGAGGAAGGAGAAAGAAAAAAAAAAAAACAATAAGGTAAGTAGCTAACTGGCCTGCAAAGAATAGAAAAAAAAAACTAAAGGAAAAAAAAATCTATAAAGATCAAGAGGAAATTTACATATTAAATAGTCAAAGCATCATGTCTTCTTGTTGATTATTGGTCTTGACAATGTCTTAAGTGAGACCCTTCCAGTGTTGGGCCCCAAGTCTCCCAGACCTATGCACATGGCATATGTTTAGATATTGAGTGGTAGCAAACAGGAAGAAAAAAATGGTTGTGGTGGAAATAAACAAAACCTACAGTCATGTCAAGGATAAAGGATCTTCAAGTGGTATAGAAAGACTGACTAAAACAACCCCAACAGGAAGGTATAACCAGAACAAGTGACTGATTTACAATGGGGAGAAAAATTACTGACTACAGGAAACAGCACAGGAACCATTTGTATTAAGAACAAGACAGCTTGATAAAATGTCTCAAATCAACCACGAAATAAAAACAGAATCACAGTAATAGTAGCCATAAAGGCATACCTGAATCATCTGTTGCGGGCCTTCAGTTGGCTTCTTTAAAAATAGTTTGACGGTTGCAGTTAGTAATTGCAACTGGACTTGAGCAGGCTCTTCTGGAAAACTCTCTAAGAAACTTTCAAGGAGCTCATCAGCATTGTCAATTCTTTCCGCATATTCACCAATTATCCAGATCATTGATGCCTGTGGAAACCAAAAGAAATGTTGCAAATTTTATGAATATGAAGGACAATACAATAGAATTCAATGGGTCCACATAAACTAGACAACCTTTGCTTCGGGCTCATCTAAAGTGTCCAAGCTCTCACACAGTGTTGCAATAATAGACTCATAGCTGCACGGAAATATAGAATTCAAGAATAAGCTTCCAAACAAAAACTATCAATTAGCAGGAAACTCAACGACCAAATACACCAAAAAGATCTGAAACTTACGTGTTAGGGTATCTTCTAAAAATATCCTTGATTACTATAATAGCCTCCTGAACGACATAATTAACCTTTATTTTTATCAGCTCAAGCAAAACACTTATGCATCGCTCAGCTGCTCTCTCCAACTTGATAGCACAGCGACCAATAGCACGGACAGCCTTTCTAACAAAATCCACATCTACTTCTGTGGCATATTCCTTGAACTCCAACAGAACCTGGAAGAACACACTAATAGAGTAAATGTATGCCAAGAATGTAAAGAAACCCACAAGTTTCAATACAGATTTGTAATTTAGGTACTGGATTTGATCATATCAGCCAAGGTGCCATTATTTTTCCTTTTTCTTTCTTTTCTTTTTTCTCTAAAAAGCTAACTTGAAGAATTATGTACCTGGTCTATGTTCCGATCAGAGGCAAGCTTTATCATGATTTCTAATTTTTCCATCTTCACATAAATTGGATCATTGTACTTGCAGAAGAAAACCTATCAACAGACATCATAGCTACATATTCAGATTTCAGAACCACCTTTTATTTGTGGGTGTGTGTTGTGGGAAGGGGGGCGGGGGGACAGATAACATGACTTTAGACAAGGACTTTATATCTCAAATCACCTTAATTTCATGGGCAAGGATAGTAGGCCGCTTTTGTACAATAAGGTTGATGTTTCTAAGTGCAACATACTGTATCTCAGGTTCTGCAGAAAGTAATGTTACAAGAGGAGGAGCCATTTTCTTGCAAAGATTTCTGACCACATCAGTGCTAGTGATGAGTTCCATTTGTAGAAGGATCATCTGCAACATCCACTTCATGATGTGATTTAATGCATGGATGCCATAAAGAAAGGAACGTGAAAGAAAATGTGGAAATCATCAAAGTTTTGAATCAGCATACAGATGAGCATTTGGTATTTGACAGTTCTACCAACAATGATGACAATACAGTTTAAACCAAAGAAAATAAATGCCACCTTAACAGCTGATAGTACAACTGCACAATTTGCATGTTGAAGTCGTGGAGTAACTCGCTCCACTATATTTTCAGCTTCACGAGCATCAGCTGCCTTGTATTTGGAAAGAGCATCCAATATAAAAACTTGACCCCATCTGCACAGCATATAAATCACCTCAGGAGTTAGATACAACCCAGTCCACCAACATATAAATCACCTCAGCATATAAATCACCCCAGATAACCAACATTGGATATTGGCCTTTTTATATAACAAATGAATTACCAACTTACTAAGGCAACTCACTCAGACAACTGGCTGTGACAAATATATGAAGAACTAAATTTCTCTAGAAATTTATGTTGAGATTGATGTACAGTTAAGGACTTGAACGCTAAACCACCTCATGCATAGAGAGGCTAATAAAAGAACAGGCTCTATCTAAAGGCGAGGTTTAGAGAGTAATAGTGGCAAGTGATAGTTTCATTTCTGGTCTAATTCTGTATCAAAATTTCTCTTTTTTGTGTGATACCCTTCAGCCTCTTCCATGTAATATCTTTTTTTTTTTTTTTTTTTTTGAACAGGTAAAAGTAATTTATTGATGAGAAAAATAGTCACACAGAGGTAAGGTGGAGGAGAAGTAAATCAGCTCCACCTCATAAGGAGATCAGAGATCCCATACACTGACGGACTTAAGCATCAGAAATACATTTTGATTACAAAATTCTGGAAGGACTGACAACCAGGATGCTAATCTAGCCACTATACACTGGATCAACACCTTGGGGCTCTTCTTCTCTTTTCTAAAGATTCTGTTATTCCTCTCCGACCATATAGTGCTGATAACTACCGCAGGGATAGATCTCCAAATGAGCTTGCCTTTCTTTGATAACCTCGGAAGATTCCGGCCTTCTAGCGGCTCCTTTACAGTGTTCGGCATAACCCAGCAAACATCCACTGCAGAGAAGAAATGAGACCAAATCCTCCAGGACAGATCGCAATGAATGCAGAGATGGTCCATAGTTTCCTCGACCTGACCACAATTTCCACAACTTATGTCCTCTAAGCTGAAACCCCTCTTATCCAGGTTGCTTCTTGTTAAGCTTTTTCCTAGTGCAGAGGTCCAGACCAGGAAATTGACTTTTGAAGGGGAAGAGGGGATCCAGATTTGCCTCCAGGGGAAGTCTGCATTCCTACAACCAGTTAGACTATCAGCAAAGGACCTCACTGAGAAATTTCCATTAGCAATTCAGGCCCAAGTCCATTGGTCTCTTGATTGAGGTTGAAAAGAGAAACTGTTTAGGTTCTTTAGCAAGTTCACCACCTCTGCCACTTCCCAGTCTTGAAAATCCCTTCGGAGGTTGGGATTCCACACCACTTCACCCCAGACTAACTCAAAGGAATCAGCCACAGTTGCCTCTTTGTCCTCAGCCACTGAAAACATAAGGGGAAAAGCCTCTTTCAAAGAGATCTAATTTAGCCATTTATCCTTCCAGAAACGAACTCTTCCATGTAATATCTTCATCATTATCTGTCACTATAAAGCAGATGTTGGTGAAACATAGCAAGTTCTTCAGCAAGGAATCATGTGAATTTAGAATAGTCCCTGCCTATGACTGGAGATATTAAGTTGAATTTTGGTGGATGCAGTTTATACGACTCTTGTAGCTCAGTCACAGCATTATACTTACTATTTATTCTAGGCCCATAGACTATGGCGAAGGGTTCAGCTGCTAGAAGTATTACAAGGATTAAGAAATGCAAATCCCTAAATTATAGCAATCTAGTGGTGGAGGGAGATTCCAAGATGGCAGTGCAGTGGATAAAAAACAAGAATCCAAGATGTGTAGGCACATCATGAGGAAGGTACAACACTTGGCTAGGAAAATAGGAACATCTTTCAACTGGGTAAAGCAATCAGCCAATGATGTAGATATATAGAAAAGGGGTTCAAAGAAACCATTAGTGTTGGCAATTTGTCTTCTACCTTGAAATATAATGGATATTTAGTAGGGTAGATAGATAGGGCTAGTCTACCAAAGAAGGGTGCTTTGCACAGTTTGCAACACTGTAATTCATTAATAAATCAATGAAATGCCAGCTGCTGATTGTAATGATTATGTCAATATAATAATGAGGTGAAATGGATTTCATTTACTTGAAATGATATGTAAGTTGAAACCAACCTGCTTGAATAATCACAAGTGCTATTTTCAGCCATAAGACAAGTATCAAAAAGTCAATAGCATTTATATGCATATGTTTACTCAGCTCATTAAAGAGAGGGGGGGATAGATATGTAAGGCATATGTAATAAAAAAAGAAGTTGGATCTTTTCCTCTTTCAAAATACTAACTTACTCGGTACACTCATTTAAAGCAGTTAAGAGCTTCGAAAGTGTGTGACTTGTGATCTCAAATATTGGTCTAGTACTGGTTTCTTGAATTTCAGCAAGAGCTGCAACAGCGTTTGCAACAACCATAGGATTGTTGTCAGAAAGCAAATCCTTGAGAGTCTCCAAAAATCCTCTATCTTCCACTAGCTCAGCATTTATATCATAAAGTTTGGCAACACAAATAGCGGCTGTCTTTCGAACATAAGGATCATCATCCTGTCAAAGAATAGATCATAAGAAAAACATAAACTTAGATGTTAAACACTGTAGTTCCTTGTCTACACTGCAAAAGCACCATAATCACAAAAAGGAGTAAAGAAATTTTAACAACGAATAAAGTTATATGAGGTTCCACAATACTGAAGAAACAATTCTATTCAAGATGAATCAACCTTGAGGCATCTCTGAAGAGGATCACACAGATATTCTGTAATTTTATCAACCCGAATGCATCCCATTGTCCTTACAGCTAAAGCGCGGATTAAAGGATTTGGATCCTGTGAATCCTGAAAAGATGATCGGAAGTTAAACATTCAATAGGAATTTGCAAAAGCACATTTCATGATCATTAATGTAAATAAATACTTATATATTCAAAAAATAAAATTAAAATAGATATGCACATGTCATACTGAAGTACTTAAGATTACTGAATCAAATATAGAATCTCTAATTTGCTTTCAATCTCTAAATTTTACAACTAATTTACTACTATTTATTTATGAACTTTGCTTTCAATCTCTAAACTTACCTAGACCTTGGATTGTATTGTAACTTTTTTCCTACACATTGTGCCTTCTAGGACCGGCTGATGAGGCAAACAATTGGGAGTGGTCTTGAGGCTGGCAGTCTCTACCATCTCAATGAAGACATCAATTCAGTTCTTAAAGCTTCAACAAGTCATAGTGGTGAATGCAAGGAGTCTAGTGCAACAAGTCACCGAAGAGAGGAAGAATAATGTGAAAAGCAATGAGAGCGGCACTTGTCTAGACCACATGGGAAGAAAGGGATGGGAGGATCTTCAATGAAAAGAGTAGGTCTAAGTGGGAGATCATTAACACCATAAAAATAAAAGTTGCACTTTGGGTGAAGACTTCGGATACCTTCCAAGCATTTTCATTTGATGGTATTTGTTAGAGTTAGCCGAATAAGGGTAGATTAGTCAACTCACCTTGGTTAAGTTATGAGCTTATGTGGCAGTCTTATTAGAGGTTCTCTGTCCCATACTTAAGTAGGGGCAGTTTAGTCCTTGTACATTTAATTAGAAGCCTAATCACTATTAAGAGGTCGACTGGTAGGGTTTAGCTATCAGGTTCGACAGTTCTTTCATCTTCTTCTTCTTCTCTTCTTCTTCTTCTTCTCCTTACTGGTTCGGACTACTGTAGCAACAGTAGAAACGGTATTTTTGAAAACATGGAAGGAAATGGCACAATCAGCACAAGAAAAGGAAAGAATAGTCATGGATTGGAGACCACAAACAACCAACATTCTAAAACTAAACCTTTTTTTTATCAATAACTGTGAATTGTATTAATATTATGAAAAGTTACAGAACAAGGGAGCTAAACAATCTTAGCTCCCGAGAACAACCATCGAACACCAAACAAACGATTACAGTACAGCCCAAAATATAGAATTTCTGTTCACCCCTTGTCTAGCTAGACCATCTGCCAATGAGTTCGCACTTCTTTTTACCCATTTGTATTGAATTTTCATGTCCTTAGTCAACCATTTAAATTTCCTCTTTTCATTGCTGTAATTCCAAAGTCTAGAGTTATCCTCTTTTAGCCAGTTTACCACCACTTCAGAATCTCCTTCTATGATCAGCTTGTTAATTTGCATATCCTTGACCCTTTGTACCCCTTCAAGAGCTGCAAGTATCTCAGCCCTCACCCTGATTGGTCCAGAAAACATAGCTAACAGATTCCCCTATTCATCTCTTATTACTCCCCCTATTCCGGATGGCCCTGGATTACCCATGCTGCTGCCATCAAAGTTCAGTTTAGTAAAGCCATGAGGTGGAGGGAGCCAACAAGAATTTGAGGCCTTCTTTATTGGAGCAAGTTCTGCTATCTCCTTCCATTTTCTTTGCAACTCATCAAATGAGAATTCTGCAAACAAAGCCAAGGTTTTGATGGAAGCTTTCTGGGAAATGAAGGAAAGATTGGATTAGGAGGTGTTTTTTGAGATTCAGAAGGTAAGGTACTAGCATTGTACTCGGGCCCCTTAAAGCATGGTGACTGATTGACAGCAGAATTCTTGGCTTTATTTCATGGTTTAAAGTTTGCAAAGCAGTTTGTATTCCAACTGTTGAAAGTGTATGGGGTCTCCTAGGTGGTTATCTCTTGGACAAAATTCCATTGTCAAAACCCATGGATTTACAGACACGCTATTAGGGAAATTGAATGATTAACAAGGGAGTTAAGTGTTACTTATAAGTAGGTGAGAAGAACAGCAAATGGGATGGCAGGCACATTAGCTAAACAAGGGGCAAATAGGTAGCAAATGTTTTGGGCTAAAATGTAATCTTTTGTACCTTGGGAATGGGTAATATCTACACATTGATGTACTCTTGGGGGGTAATATTAGGGAAATTGAATGCTTAACAAGGGAGCTAAATGTTACTTTTAAGTAGATGAGAAGAACAGAAAATAGGATGGCAGACACATCAACTAAACAAGGGGCAAATAGGCAGCAAATGTTTTGGGCTAAAATGTATTTATTTGTACCTTGGGAATGGGTAATATCTACACATTGATGTACTCTTGGGGGTGGGTAATATTCCCAGTGTTGTAACTTTTGATCTGAAATATAATAATAAATTCTACCTTTGCGAATAAAAAAAAATAAAGAAAGAAAGAAAGAGAGAGAGAGAGAGAGAGAAGTACCTAGAATCACCATGGTCTTTTGCATGATGATCGAGACTCAGTTTGGAAAGAAGATTAAACAATGAGGGCGAATATTTCAAGAACTCTCTGAATGTGTGCTTTGAAGATGAGAGAACATTACATCAGTCTTCTTCAGTTACACTCCATAGCGGAATGTAGTTGCAGAGAGGAAAAATAGGCATCTACTAGAAACTGTTCGTGCTCTCTTGTTTCAAAGCAAGATGCCAAAGAAGTTCTAGCCTCATATTGTTCTCATTGCATCTTATTTGATCTATAGGATGCCATCCAAAGTATTGGGTATGAAGACCCCCTTCTCTATTATGTGTCCAGATCAACTTGTTTTTCCTTACCACCAAAGGTTTACGGTTGTGTGTGCTTCATTCATGTCAAGGATCCTAAGAGAACCAAGTTGGATCCTAAGGCTACTCGTAGGGTGTTTTTGGGCTATTCTCCTACACAGAAGGGATACAAGTGCCTTGATTTAGTTACTAAGAGGAAGTTCATTACAAAAGATGTCACATTTCATGAGTCTCAATCATTTTTTGACCCTCCTCAAGATCCTCTTTAGGGGAGACTAGTGAGATGGAAGAGTCTTCCTTAGGGGCTAATCCTTTTGTCTCTACTCCTACTCTTCCAACTACTCCTCTTGATCCAGTTCCTACCAAGCCCACTGAGTCTACTTATCCAATTAAGCCTCCAATTGATGGGCCCATGTTGATGATGCAATGCTCCTTGCACAAAAGCCATTACTCCTAACTGTTGTGATGTAAGTGTTTATCAAAGAAAAAAAATGTGAAACTTTCCAGTTCATGATTGCAACCAATTGGGTCCTCCTGAGGCTGGCTAAGGTATGATTTCTCCTACTTCCACTAGTTTTGATTCGGATCTCCCTATTACTTCGTGAAAACCAGTTCAGTCCTGCACTCTTCATCCTATAAATGGATTTGTCTCATATTCTCACTTGTCTCCTGCCTATCACTCATTTGCTTGTGCTTTGTCCTCTGTCTATAATCCTTCCAGGTTCTCAAACGTTGTTGTTGATCCCAAATGAAGGAAACTATGAATGAAGAAATGAGAGCATTATTGAAATCAAAAGCTTGAGAGCTAGTGGATCTACTACATGGGAAGAACACCATAGGATGTAAGTGGGTGTACATGATCAAACACAAGGTTGATGGCTAGATTGAAAGATACAAATCTAGTTTGGTTGCAAAGGGGTTCCCCTAAAAGGAAGGTATTGACTACAAGGAAACTTTTGCTCTGGTTGCCAACCTAAATACTACCAAGGTGTTACTATCTCTAGCAGCCAACTTTTTCTGGGAACTACATCAATTGGATGCTGAGAATGTCCTTCTAATTGGTAACATGCAAGAAGTTTACATGAATCCTCTTCCAGTGTATGATATGAGAGGAAAGGTGTGTAAAACCAAAAGGGCCTCGTATGGACTCAAACAATCCCCAAGAGCATGGTTTGAGAGATTATGCAAAGCAATGAAGGCTATAGGATACCAACATAGTAGTGCAGATAGCACCTTATTTTACAAAACAAATGGTGACAAACTAAAAACACTAATTGTTTATGTTGATGATATGGTTATTATTGTAAATGATGCAAAGAAGATTATGAAGTTGAAAGGTTTCTTAGCCTCAGAATTTGAAATCAAGGATTTGGAACCCATGAGATGGTTTCTGGGAATAGAAGTGGCTAGATCCAAAGAAGAAAATCTACATTTGTCAGAGGAAGTATGCCTTGGATTTGCTGAAGCAAACAAGGAAATTTAGGACCAAACCAATTGACACTCCTATAGAACAAAACCACGGATTGCAAGAAGGTGATGAGAATCCTTATCATGATTCCTGGCAGAGAGAGATATCAGTTGTTGGTTGCAAAATTGCTCTATCTACCCCTTACCAGAAAGGACATTGCATATTTTGTCCATGTGGTTAGCCAGTTTATGCATTCTCCACAAGTCTCACATATGAAAGCAGTAGAAAGAATCTTGAGATATTCTAAGACATGTCAAAGGAAGGATTAGTGTTTAAGAAGCATGGCAAAGTAGAGGTTAAAGCATACACTGGGCAAGTTCCTAAGGAGATAGGAGGTCTACATCTAGATATTGCACCTTTGTGGGTGGTAATCTAATCACTTGGACAAGCAAGAAACAAGCTGTTGTAGCAAGGTCAAGTGCTAAAGCTAAATATAGGGCTATGGCTCATGAAGTTGTTGAACTACTTTGGCTCAGGATTCTTTTGAAAGAGTCGGGGATAGATGTAACCAGACCCCTAAAGCTTTAATGTGACAATCAAGCTGCACTCAACACTACAAATGGTAAAGGAGATCGGCTAATGGATTAGCTAGCTTTCTAGCCAAGTAGGGGGTGAATAGGGATCAGCTTTTCTAGGCTCAGTTATAACTTTTTTTCCTCTTTCTTCTTTGCTGCTGGTTGAGGTGAATCTCTCACCTCTCCCCCGGATGATTGAACCGGTGTCTTTCTGGTTTTAATAAAATTCACTTATCAAAGAAAAAACATTGCAAATAACCCAGTCCTGCATGATAGGAAAAAGCATATCGAGATCGATAGACACTTTGTATGTGAAAGGATTGTCTTAGGAGACCT